TCACAGAACTGCAGTGTTCTCACTCAGAACAAACACTGGCTCCACTTGATTCAGTGTGGATTTCCTTGCTCCATTTGAGGTATCCCAATTTTGGTATCCTGTGCAACAGTAGTCTATGAAGCTTAACTCCCATGGTTACTGTGAGGTGCAGTTCATCTCTCAATCCAATTCTGGAACAGAAAGAAAAAGCAACGGATGCTGAGGTGAGACAGCTTGTCATCCCATGGGAAGCCCCATATTGCTTTGATCTGGGGAAGACTCACCTGATTCTTCAGTTTCTACCACTGGAAAAGTAAGAGAAAAGCAGAACGTGATAACAGTTGCATCTCATTTCACAGCTCCCACAAGAATATCTCAGTGTTTTTAATATGGGAGGGGATACGCACCTGTCTCTTCGCCGTGTTTTCCTGGAAAAAAATAAGAGGTGGGGCAGCTTGTCATCCCATGGCAAACCCCTTATTCCTTTGGTTGAGGGAAGAAGACTCACCTGATTCTTCTTTTTGTTCCACTGGAAAAGAAAGAGAAAAGGATCACGTGTGGGGAGGAACATCTCATCACACAGCTCACACGGGAAGACCCCAATAGTTTGAATTTGAGATGGGAGACTCACCTATTTTTTGACAGTGTTCCTCTGGAAAAGTAAAAGGAAAGCAACACTTGATGAGAGGAACATCTCCGCACAGAGCTCATACAGGAAGACTCCAATGATTTTAATTTGGGAGACAGGACTCACCTAGTCTTTCAGCTAGTTTCGCTGCCAAAGAAACAAATAAGAAAGGCATGATGAGAGGGGTCAGCTTACCACACCATGGCTGGTCCAATGTGAAGACCCAAATTCCTTCATTGTAGGCATGCAGACTTACTCAGATGTTCATCCCTTCTCTCTGCAGAGGAAAAGCAGAAACTGTGTGATGAGAGGAACATCTCATCCCATGGGTGCCACAGGCAGCACATTTAAAACTGCGGGGACTCACCTGCTCTCAGTCTTCGTTCCGCTGGAAAAGAAAGAGCAGAGCAGTGCACGGTCAGAGGGGACAGCTGCTCATCCCATGGCTGATGCCTTGGGGAGACCCTGAATTCGCTCACTTTGGGGAAGGAGACTTACCCAGATCTATATAACTTCTAACTGCAAAAAAGAAGCAAAGGAAATGCATGATCAGAGGGAACACCTTCTCATCCCATGGCTGCTCCCATAACCCAGACCCCAAATCTTTTGTTCTGGGAAGTGGCCAGTGACCACTTTGGTCCCAGAAGGAATTAAACAAATAGAAAGAAAGTGATTTGGCAAGACTTGTGAAGTGGATCAATCAGGATCAACATGGGATGCCATGACCACTGTACATCCCAAAGTACCAGCACATCCCAAGACCCCAAAGATCCCATGGTCCCAACCCATCACATAAACCCAGCACTCTGCAGTCTTCTACCAGTTCCATTAAAGGGACTTTGGTGGTGGAAGGAGCTGGAAGGACTCACCCAGCTCTCCGCGTAGTGCCACTGAAAAACAAAGCAGAGGAAGAGGTGATGAGCAGGGCAACTTGGTTTGTGGGGACTTCTGCAGAGGGTCTGGAACTTTCCACCTGCCCCACGGTCCAGCCACGTTCCCATCTTCCCAACCATCATTTTTCCCCTTCCTTCATTTCCAAGAAGAAAGGCAGACGTTATTTAATGACCCCTGTGAATCTCAGTAAAAAGTAAAGACAACCGAAAGGATGATCTGAGAAAACAGCTTCCCATGAGAGGACCCAAAATACTTTGATTTGGGGAAGTAAACTCACCTGATTCCTCAGCTTGTTCCGCTGGAAAAGTAAGAGAAGAACAGTGCGTGGTCAGAGGGGACAGGTGCTCATCCCATGGCTGATGCCATGGGGAGATCCTGAATTCCCTCACTTTGGGAAAGGACACTTACCCAATGCTGCATTTTTTCTCTCTGCAAAATAGAAGCAAAGGAAATGCATGATCAGAGGGAACACCTTCTCATCCCATGGCTGTTCCTATGCAAAGACCCCAAACCTTTTTGTTCTGGTAAGTGATCAATGACCTCTTTGGAATTAAAGTAATAGAAAGAAAGCGATTTGGCAAGAGTTTTGCAAGCGGAGCAGTCAGGATCGACACATCCCACAACCCAACTGCATCCCATGAACCCAGCACATGCCAAGGCCACAACACAGCCCAAGGCCCCAGAGATCCCATGGTCCCAACCCGTCACATAAACCCAGCACTCTGCAGTCTTCTATCAGTTCCATTAAAGGGACTTTGGTGGTGGAAGGAGCTGGAAGGACTCACTCAGCTCTCTGATCTGTGCCACTGAAAAACAAAGCAGAGGAAGAGGTGGTCAGCAGGGCAGCTTGGTTTGTGGGGACATCTCCAGAGATGTCCAGAGACTTTCCGCCTGCCCGATGGTCC